GTTGGATGACATCAGAAGGACATAAAAGACAAATTATTAGTGAAGATTATATTTATTTTGGTGCCGCATTCAAAAATAATATTTGGGTGCAAGCATTTGGATATAAAAAATAATATTTTTTTTTATTTTTTTTAAGTTTTTAGTTTCTTGTTTTTTTTTGTTTTTTTATTAATAAAATTTAAAAGAAGATTGATAATTTTAATAATATTCACAACTTTTTTAGACATATTTTTAAAATATATAATAATTATAAAATATTTTGTTTTTACTAAATAAATTTTGTAACTAGTCAAATCATGCACTTATTGTTCTTATGTTATTTGCGGTGCCCCCTACGCTGTAGGAGCTCGACCCAATCTTGCTGCGAAATTAGTAGCAAACGCGTACATGAATTATTGGCTCCCACCCAGTTGGTAAACCTAAATTACCCTTGTATACTATCTCCCTCACATATGAACTAAATTACAAGGCAAGAAACAATCGCCGTATGCCAACGGCAGTGGCAAGCCAGATCGGCTTACCCCGAAACTTAGCCGGCATCGTGATCGGATGCCATCTTGCCACGCCACATTGCGGTGCATCATCGACGTTTACAATTGACGCTGTCAAAGTTTTCAGTCGAACTTTGATGATGGCGATCTATTACATGGATCGCCAATGCCAAAGTTCGATTAAAGTTTGCAATCACAGGTTAAAGGCAAGAGATATAAGAAAAATTGAATTATTTATTAACTGATTTAAACTTGTAAAATCTTGAAAATCAATTAAGCATTGCCAATTTCATAAATCGAGATCAACAAAATAAAAAAATATAAAAAGATGAAATGTGATTTAAAATAAGGCAAAAAATAGAAAAACTCAATAATAATATTTTACTATACATATTTGAAATATTGTCGCCAAGAGAAAGAGAAAAAATTAAAACAACTTGTCGAAAATTTCACGATGTTTATATTAGAAGCTTAAGAACAAGGAGAGATATTAATCCCAGACAACATATTTTCTTCTGATTGTATAAAAAAGATCAAAAATTAAATCAAGATTTGCTATTTTATAAAATTGATCGTATTCAAAATGGATTTGTATATTTTAAAGGCAAAAGAACAACTGCAATACAAAAATGTAAAATTTTATATAACAACTTTATGAATAAATATATTTAAAATATAAAAAAAAATGAAAGTAATTTTTTATGAAATTATATATTACATCTTAAGTATCTTTGAGAAATGTTTAGATCTGTTCCGATAAATGTATTCGATTATATTTTTCCTACCCATGATATGCGCATTGATTCGAAAACAGATATCCTTAGGAGCTTTGAGTTTCTGCCACTTATTGGCGCTAAACTAATCATTTTGGAGCCATCGCTCGATATGATTTTTGGCCAACATCAAAAAGATATTTTTATTTTTTACGGTTATGACTAGCCTTTCCTCATCGCAATCCTGCTCTAATATTTGAAGAATACGAATAAACTCTTCAATATACGAATCGGTTGTACTCATGAAATTATCAGATTTTTTTTCTGCTCCAGAAAAATAGGTATCAATAGTTTTCTTCGAAATATATACTAGGGTGGATTGCACATATGGTTTTTGCGAATCAAGATAGGCAAAATGATCTGCCTGGTCATTCTGGTAGATACCACTATGGCCTTTCACCCAGTTGAAATATGTCTTACCTGTTCGCGTTTGAATAAGCTTGTTCATCTGGTTTACTAGATCAGAATTAGCCTTGGGTAATTGCATGTTATATGATTGATCACATATGTGCTATCAGTGTTGATGAGCAAATCGAGGTGTGATGCAGTTACTTCCAGAGCACGAATTACCATGTACAACTTGGCATGATTATTTGTTTGTGCTAGCCAGGCAAATGTTCTGATAAATTGCGTAAGTTATTATCAGCAAAGAATACACCAATTTTGGCCGTTGAATTCAAAGAACCTAAATATGATTTTTGCCTATTAATTGTTTTAAAATTATTACAACATCCGTCAGTCTACACGTTTAAGATACTGTGTGGATCGATCATCTTAATAAATTCTTCAGCTTGCTGCTTTGAAAAGAATTTCTTATACAAAGTACCAGATTAACCATCTATCTGTTTTTTACACTCATTTCAAGTGGTGTATATACCCAGCCTACGGCCGGCACGAACTGCATAAAACTCTAATATCAAGTAATATTGTATCAGAGACATGCTTGTGGCCAGTCACTGTGAGGAGATGGTTCACAAGGGTAATTTAGGTTTACTAACTGATTAGGAGAAGTGAGGTTAGTACAAAATGAGGAAAATGAATGACTAGACGATGCACGGTTGGAGCCTCTTACCTTTAATATTTCTTCAAAAAAAAAAAATAAATTACTTTAATGAAAAACAAAGATTTATATAGCTTTTTTAAATATGATAAAATTATAGGAGCTGTTGAATTGTATTAACATAGAAGGATAATTTTCCAGTTGATAATGAAAAGCGGTTGCCAGTTTCATCTGCGGAAACTGGCAACCAAAACTTTATTTAAAATAAAAATGAAATTTATAATTTAAAAAATAAAAGAAAATAAGAAATGAAATTTTTAATGTTAAAAATACGTGAGATGGTTTTCCACCAACTGGCACTCCTCACAGAAAGTGTGAATATGAAGATCTTTGATACCGCTGAAAGTGAGAATAGAGGCTTGTGAAATGCATTTATTCCCATATTCACATTCTTGATAAGAAAGATAGTAACGGTTGAAGCTAATGCAGTAAATAAACCGGGCACAGTTGAAACATTCAGATTTTCTGTAATTTGGTAGATCGGCTACAGGAAAGAGAAGAAGAACCCACCACGCAACTCTTTTTGGAAGAATTTGAATAGGCACAAGCATCAATAATCAAAAGGAAAAAGCTTGCATCGTGACCATGTATTGCCAACAAATTTGACCAAAATGAAATATTTTCGCGTTTTTGTACTGAATTTCAATTGGTAAGGATAATTATATATTTTAGGCACGAGAAAGAAATACTCATCACGCTCCTCGGTTATACAGTAGCGTGGAGCGTACATGTTAAAAATTCGCAAATAGAAATCATGCCATCTTCTGGCTATGTATTTTAATTGCTGGAAATAGTAAAACTCCTCATTCGAAATAAGAATTAAAGGTTTTAAGTAGAGCAAAATCTCGTGAAAAAGCTCGGGTGGTAGATCATTAAATCGATTTGGCCTAGTAGAACACATGCTCCTGGACGAACATAACATCAGTGTCGAGTTTCTTGACAATTTCAATGATCACGAGAATCTCACAATCACGTATATACTCAACAGATACAGAATATGTAAGGTTTGGTGGATGTATAGATATGCTGGCAAATGATGTGGCCCTAGCACGATTAGAATGCGTTATCATCAACTGATCAAAAGTCAAAGGATCGAACTCGTTATTTTTTAGATGATTGAGCAAGAAAGAAGATTGCTGGTTTTGTTTATAGAAACTGGCAATCTCAATATAGTCTCTCATAGACGTAATATTCTTATCAAAAACAATATACTTGAATGACATTTATTGTAATGTGATGTTTTTTTTTAATAAAAATAAATAACAATAAAGTTGATATATAAAATTTTAAATTTAAAAAAAATAATAAAATTGATATATGAAATTTGAAATTAATATATATTTATATTTATATTAAAAAAATGTATATGGGCACTTATTGCTTCTTCCAAATTATGAGATGAGAGAATTGTACATCGACTATTCGCAGGAAAGTGAAATAGCAAGACTTGCAAAGCTTATAATAGTGCAAAAGTGAATAACTGAGCAAGTCCATCTTGAGGTTCACAGAATAAAAAGAACAACCAGGAATCTGGCACCTGTTGAAGATTAACGACATGCGACAAAACATTATTCTCCAACAACGGTCACATTGTTCCTTTCTAACATCCTGACGTCTCATACAGATCAAATGCTTAGACCTACTATAAGGTGAAAAACACTGATAGAAAAATTTCTTGCGTGGTTGAACTTCCTTGGCAAATCGAGCTTGGATTTTACAATAAGTATTTTGGCATCTTTCACAATGATTGCAAGGCTTTCTTCAATCACAACGGTATGCATCCCAATTGGAGTAATTAATAATACATAAATAGCAAGAAAGGTTCTCGAAGGTCACATAGCAAGGTTGCACTGTTTTTCTCACAATCTGAAGCGATATGAAATTATAAAGAAATGGGTTTCGATGGCCAATATCATTTTCGCTAATCCAAACATCTCGAACAGGATTTGGAAACATGTAGCATGTATATATTTTATGAATATGGGATCTTTGCTATGAAAATGACCCTCTGAGGCTATGTTGATTTTGTGAATAAAATTTAAATTTACCAGTCATCTAGTTATCCGATTTGAATAAATTTTTTTTTAATTTGTAGATTCTATTGAGATTTACAAATTAAAAAAAAGTTTATTTAAATTGGATTACTAGATGGCTGGCAAATTTAATTTGTATTCACAAAATCAACATAGCCTCAGAGGGTCATTTTCATAGCAAAGATCCCATGTGTTTACAGGTGAATGCATAAGATAAGATATCATCATAATAGAGCAGATCGAAGATTCTCTGATAAATCTCGACGAGAATTCTCTCTATCATAGGTAACGACAATTAAGCAGTGATGAATAAAAACAAAAAAAATAAATATGTTTACAAGAAGCGCGCTACTGATCTTGTTCGTCGAGAAAAATTATCACAAGATGCTTGAATCTTGGCCAACCAGGTTGAACTTGAAGGATGTAGCTGGGAGAGAAGTCCTTTTTAAAACAATTTTCACAAATGTAATAGTAATGGCCAATGGGAGAAGAGCACGAGGTGCAGCTTAATGTAGAAGAGACAAAGATCAACTCGCAGAAATCAGATAATTGGTGACAAAAGTGGCAGGAAGTCGCAAATATATCTTTAAGATTTTTTAGAGTGTGCTTAAACACGTATCCGCCATATCTCTTCAAGAGATTTTTACAATAGATCTTGGCATATGAAGTTCTCGAGTACAAAATTCGTTTTTGTTTTCGGGAACTGTTTAGTCAGAAATTTACGTATCGATCACATGTCAAAAATTCAAATAATAGGACCTTGATAGTTCGATAAGAATGATAGAAATAGAAAACGTGCTTCTTAGAGTTCAGATGGAGATAGAAATACGTAGCATTGAAGAAACGGAAAACACAACGAATCTTGAACATATCATATTCGGTTAAGTGGGAAAAGATCATGTACCAAATCTTATGTGAAAAATTCATCATTGCAAGAAAAAATACATCGATAACCATATGAACGGTGAAAAATCACTATTCATGCGGTTATGCATATTATTGTTGTTTATTTATTAAACATTTACAGGTGTACAAATTAAAATCATTAGTTACCAATAGAGTAGTTGTTATATTAATGTGTGAATATAAATTATTTATTCTTCGATTGGGGCAAGAAATAATAGTCAATGCGCAATTTCTTGGATACAGAAGCCTGAGAAGATGACAATTTATGCTTTTTAGGAAAAATATCACTAACTTGAAATAGGATCGAGTCAACATGAAGAGTGAGAACCCTGTTTAGCTTGGATTGCTTGAACTTGTCAGAAATTTCTCGATAAAGAGAACCAATTATTTTATCAGCCTGCACAACATCACAGGCAAAGATACAGGTACAAAGATCCTTCAGAGTCTTGAAATAATAAAGAAGATCAATCTTTTGTGTCAAAGAGTCGTACTTTGAAGCCATGCATATCTTGTATTCTATTCAGGCTTTAGGGTCAGGATGCTCCAACACATAATAGTAGAAACGACCCAGATCGGTGGATTTCTTTTCAACCTCACGCTTGGCCACGAAATCGATGACCATCTTATTCCCCTTCTTGATGATCACATGTCTATTATTCCAATAGTCAAGAACAGACAACAGAGCATAAGTAGGGTCATACTTCCTATTCAACACGAAAAGATCAAAATTACGTTGAGGAGTTCGAATGTAGCGGATCAAGATGTCAAGAATGACCTGCTTGGGGTCACGAAAATTGCTCATGATAAGGTGATTCGAGTCGAACCCTAATATGGACCAAATCATTTCCTCTCCAATAGTCTTGTAGAACTTGGAAGCACTACGCTTGATCAACTTGAGGCCTTTCAAGTAAAGTTTTGGACTTTCAAAAGATGGTGCACATTCGTAAATGATGCCGCAATAATGCTACTTCTTGAAAAATCTGGCAGGGCAAAGTATCTTCTCGTAGACAAATGTGATATAATGTTTTCCATGTTGTCATAGATAGTTGTTCACAGATCATTCGAGTTGCTCAGAAGCTATTAAAGTTTGTTTGATCTTTTCTTCAAGGTGTTGTAGTAACGATTTAAATTCGGAAGTTAGCTCGTCAAGGCGAGACTTGGGAAGAGTAAAGAAGAACGAGTCGTGTTCCCGTAAACCACATGGTAGCCCTGGTCCCTCACATAATCAATAGTCTGGCATAAAGTAGATCTACAGAAAGTGGTGACCGAGAGGGCAACATACTTGTTGTAAATAGGTGAATAAGGATAGCCGCTTGTGTTGTAAATGGAGTTGGCTATCAACTTGAGTGTATTGGAGAGCGCAGTATAGTAGGGTAGCAAAATAGCATCTTGCTTATGCTGCTTTATCTTCTTCTTAACCTCAAAACATTTCTCTAACAATCGCTTGCACATCAAGGCCATCAATTCCATTTCTGACTCCTGATCATT